TTGCTCCGATTGGACGCCGGTCCAATCTTTTTATTCTATTATTCATATTTGCTCTCGGCACATAAGGTATCCAAAACTAATTAAATAAGAGAAAAGAAGATAAGTTGCGGATGTATCAAAGTAAAGCAGATATGGATTTGTATTTTTTACGGATTAACAGCAGTGAGGAAATTGGAACGATACTCGTCTCATTTCGAATGCGAATGAGGTGAAAAATTACAGACAAGTTCTTGATAACAAAACACTTTTCTCAATCGAAAGGTGGGAACGGGACATGGGAATCTGGCTAAGGGGATTCATCGTCGTCTGAGTCCAGTGGGACCGAATTTCCCTCGCTCACTCGCAATGTTCGCAACTTTGCTTCCAGTTCAATTTCATCTAAATCCAGCTCGAGATCGCTTTTGTTCAAGCAAATACCATTCAATTCTTTGCGAAGCCACAAAAGTAGGTCATCCGGTGCTCGCTGTATCCACAAGCAATAATCTGTTATGTACAAGTCATTCAGGAGATACCGATAATCACCGCTTGTTGACAGAATCATTCGTATATCGACTAGGCATTGTAGCAATGCTACTTTACCTGTAATTTTTTTTTTGAGAAAAAAACATCAATTTTTTAATTTTTTCGGAAAATTTGACCATATAACAAAGGAAGAGGACTACTACAGAGATATCAGGATAGTCGTAAATGCCTATGCAAAATTTTAAGAAAGCATAACCTTTTTTACCTTTGAACAACTATATTGAGGATTCTTTTTTAACTGACGGTCTGGCCAGCAGTGGTGCGCGAGAGAAGTGACGCGAGGTCCCCTGGACGGAAACGAACGTTGCCCACGTCATACGGCTAAAGCTTCGGCAATTCCATGTGATGATGCTGCCATCTCCACGTGGTGGGGACCGGTAACTCCGCGCTGTTGCGTTAAAATCTTGGGGACGGAGCCCGTAAACCGTCTTGAGAACCTTAATCTCACTCAAGTCAGCCGGGGTGTTACTGATGGTTTTAAATGATTTTCGCAAGAAAGTAAGGGCTGTAGGAAGTTAATTACTGTAGCCTGGAGAAGGAAATTTAATAATTTTCCTTTTGAAAATCCTGAGTACTCCAATAACTCTAGAGGACCATTCCATATGATGATGCTACCATCTCCACGTGCTGGGTACCGGTAACTTCGTGCTGTTGTGTTAAGGTCTCGGGGACGGGGCCTGTAGGCCGTCTTGAGAACCTTCTCCTCACAGGGCCCTTCAGGCCCGTAGTGCCTTTCTGTAGTGATTTCTTACGAAATAATTCACGTTTCTCAAGTTCAATCTTTAAAATCGTCTTAACAGACAGATTGCAGCAACCAAGTTTACCCTGAAAGCCTAAATGTTGAAAGCGCAACAGACTGCAATACGAGAGAAGGAGATAAGAGTGAGATAAGACGTTTCGGTCCATTAAGTCATATGCGCCTTAACTTAGCACCGTGACAGGACCTCGTCAGTATGACGGTTGCAGTGCTTAATGGAAAAAAGAAAGATGACAGAAAGAAGTAGAAGGAGCGACGACCTGATAGTAGGTCTAGATGAGGTAAGAGTGAGGTGAAGAAGGAAAAGGAAAGGGAGGAGAAAGAAAACGATTAAAAAAAAATTTTAAAAAAGCCAGTTTTTAAAAAAAAAAAAAGGTTAAACCGTTGTTCATTAGGCACAATCTCTTCCTCCCCCTCCTCTTGCTCCAGCCCTGCCCCCTTCTTCAACTTTTCCCCAACTAATCTCAACTTTGCTATACAGTTTCCGCCAATGCCTCTGCCTCTATCGTTCGTGCTTCAAGCTCAGTTCCTGTTTCGAAGTATTTTCATGTTACCAAAACTACAAATCACAAGGGGTATCCCTTGCGACTGAAATTCGAAGTACCAGTGAAGCCATCTATTAGTACTTCCAGCTATACTTGAATACTTGAGCAGCTGTATATCATCGACGTTCGTTATCACTTCCAGTCATAGCTAAGACAAGTGGGGGCATCTGCTTCTTTCGTAAAGAAAATATATCTCTCTCTATTTTTACAAGTACATATCGATCAACTCACCCTTGCCAAGAAGTAACTTTAAATCTTCGAAAATTCGCAAAGATAATTCATAGTGACGATAAAGCGGATAGCATAATGATCTTCGTACTGCACCCAGTACTGCTTCCTTTGCGGTTCTCCATTTTACAAAATAACTAAGAGTAGGGCTTAACTTGGCTATGGTCCATCCTGAAACAGAAGAATGCTAAGGTAGGCAGAAAGGAATTAGCATAAACTGAGTTTTTTTTCTTGTACTTGCATCCAAAAGGTAAAATTACGGATAAAAAAAGTGCTCAGCTAAGAACGTAGATTAAAAAATCAAACTTGTGGACAGCTATACATAATAAAGATAGATAATAACTGAGGCATGGAACTACGCAAAAACATCAACAAAGTGAAAAAATTCCCCAAATTACGGAATTACAAGAAAATTGCGAAAATTTAAAGTTTAAATTGAAATTTATGAATAAAATTTAAAATAAAAAAGTGAACGCTCAGAATTTAAACTAAAAACCCAAGCACTAAGTCCAACTTGATCGATGCATCTAAAAATTACAATTTTTTCAGCAAATCAAATACAAAATTTTCGACCTCAGTTTTTATCCAGGACTTTTTTCTTGTAAA